GATATTTGTTATAGCAAATATTAGAGTTGAAGTTGAGTTTGGGTAATTGGTTAGTTGACAAGTCACAGGAGGTGGATGATATTGATAGTGACTTGTTGGAATTGTCTTTTACAAGGTCGCTTACCATATACCTGGCTCGCATGGTTTCCAGATTACCTGTAGCCTGCTCTGTATATTGAGTCTGGCTGTTATAAACCCAGGAATCTAGGTAAATAGGCTTTCCCACCTGCCTACTTATATCATTATCTTTACTAACTACTATGGGTATATCTTTTGGTAAAGCGGCGGCTGCATTCATGTGTTTTGTAAAGGACAACTTTATTGAAAAGAAGATTGAGATTCATTGAAGAATAAACTTTCCTCAATAGTAGGTGGTGTGATATAGTGCATATTAAATTTTTTAGTGAGAAGTTGTTCAGCTTCTGAGTAAGCTGTTTTTCTAAAGTGTTGTACTATTTGTGAATAGTTTAGTTTTTTGTCTTTAGAATCATAGTAAGTTATGACTCTAGTTAGAAATTCGGTGCTGATAGATTTGAGGATAAGAGCATCAATAGCTTGCTGTCAGTTAAGTTGTGCTATGTTGTGATTTTGTGCTGCAATTTTCTGATATACAGAGAGGTATAGATAAAGTAATAACTGCGAAGTTTGTGGTTAATTGATTTTGGCATATTTGGTGAACGAGCAGCTTCTTCAGCTAAAGTAGCTAACTTGTTGAGTAGTTTAGTTGGAATTTGTTTAGTAAAAGTTGCTTCGTGTTTATCATCAATGTGGAAGATTGATGGATCAAATGTAAGGTCTTCATTCTCCTGTTTGGGTAGGTTATATAGGATCTTTCAAGGAGAGCTTTGAATAGTTGGTTGTAATTGTGTCTGTATTGAGGTTTTGGGGGGTTTTGATTATTGCTATCTGTTTCTTTGGCCTTATTCTTGTTGTTGATGGTCTTAGCAAAAGGGCAAGAGGTATCTTTACATGTGAGGATATGATGGTTTACATGTTTAATAGTTTCATTACGGCGTTAGATGGAGCTGTTAGGTTTATGAAAATCCAAAGTTATAGGTAAAAGTTCTTTGAAATGTTGAATAAAGCATTGGTGGAATTGATATTGTAGGGAGTTATAGACCTTGGTTTTGTCAATGGGCTGTTCGAATTGGTGACTGTATTGTAGAAAGAAGTGTTCAAACCAGTTATTGAAATGTTCAAGTGAGTTTTTTAAAGATGGAATATTATATTTTTTCTCAAAGAGGTTTTTTGGAATATTAAATTCAAGGTAGATGTTAAATTTGGTATCAGATTTAATTTAAAGGTATTTTTCGTCTTTGTTATAACTGGTTATAACAGATGATATTCTAAATCTTTTTGGTCTAAATTTAAAATCTTCAGCAAATTTAATGTAGTTAATTGATTGATAGTTGTTTGATAGATATAGGTGCAGGCGAGCTAGGTTAATACAGAATTGTAATCTGTTTTAGTTCTTATAGGGAGATATTGTTGTAGAGAATGAAAAGATTTTTGGATAATTTAATTTAGTAAAAAGGACTGTGGTAAAAGTGAGAGTAAGTTTTTTAAAAGTTTCTTCTAGAATGTCAAATAAGATTGTAAGAGCTTTGTCAGTGTTAGGATTTTGTTGTTGAATAAATTCTATGAGAAATTGTGGTCTTTCTCCAGCCATCTTGCGAATAATATAATGAAAACTAGCTTTAAGAGCTTTCCGAGTAGAAGTTGCTGCACGGATTTCTTTACCTGGGTAGAAATCAAAGAGATGTGTCTTAAGATGATTAAATATTTTCCTGGCAATTTCAGTTTGTAGTTGTGTATATTGTTCCATTTCTTCAGAGACTGGAAAGTTAGCAAGCCAGTCAAATGTTGGGTTGTTTCTAGTATTATAAGGTGAATTATTAGGAGTGCTAGTATTTTGTTGGTTGAGGTCAGAGGGGATATTAGTATTTTGTTGAGTTTCTGTAGTTTTTTTGGATTGTTGTTCTGATTGTTGTAGATAAGGTTGTTGTTGTTATGTGTTGATATTAGTGTTACGTGTAACTCTTTGGTTATACCAGCCACACCAGCCACATACTTGTACTACCTTAGACCAATTTGGGTTATACAAGGTTACACAAGGTTATACAAGCTACACTAGCCGCAGTAGTAGCACAACAACCCCTGCTTGGATCTACCCTTGTCAAACTCTTAATTTTATAATATTAAAAATCTTTAAAACACTATTACAAAAATTTTACTAAGTCAACCAAAGTTTAGTCCTTAAGTAAACTTATTACCAAGATGCCTACCTTAACAAATGTAAGCCCAGATACTATCGATCTTGATTATTTCTACAAAAATCATCCAAACAGCTATGGAATCAGAATTTTTGAAAATACAGCTAATGTATCTTGTCCAATTTCTACTAACAAACAACCTACCAACTGTATCTCTACTGAACTCAGAAAAAAAACCAAAACTACATATTTCTTTCAAGCTCCACTTATGACATCTACTGTTACCTGTATTTGTGGTAAATACCACACTCAATTCATCTCTCAAAACATCAAGTCTACGAAAAAAAACAAATGTAATTACGGTTAAGAATATTAGAAAACTTAGAAATATCATAACCGAAATCGAACAGTCTACTCATTTCATTCCATTCTCTCCAACTACATCTCTAACACCCGATATACATCACCATGAATGTGCTAAATGTAAACAACCTATCAGCTGCAAAGCAACTAATAACCTACATTATTTAGCAGCAGATGCTATACTGTTTAATGACAAACCTTACCACAAATTGTGTACTGAAACTGAACCTACCTCACAACAAACTTCTTCCTCTTATAATACACAACAAGATTCTTCTACTAGTAAGGATACATTTATCCAAAAACTACAACAATCATTAAATGAATATAGATCTAATAACCTGTTATCTTCTGGACTCGGTCCTCTCACCTCAACCGAACAAGAATATAATACTAATGACAATATAGAGATTGATAACAACTCTACATCTAATAATACAAACACTTCACAAAAACAACATCAAAATACTAATATCAACACACAACAACAACAACCTTATCTATAACAACCAGAACAACAATCCGAAAAAACTACAGAAACTCAACAAAATACTAATACCCCCCCTAACCTCAACTAACAAAATACTAGCACTCCTAATAATACACCTCATAATACTAGAAACAACCCAACATTTGACTGGCTTGTTAACTTTCCAGTCTCTGAAGAAATAGAACAACATATACAACTACAAACTGAAATTGCCAGGAAAATATTTAATCATCTTAAGACACATCTCTTTGATTTCTACCCAGGTAAAGAAATCCGTGCAGCAACCTCTATCTGAAAAGCTCTTAAAGCTAGTTTCCATTATATTATCCGCAAGATGACTGGAGAAAGACCACAATTTCTCATAGAATTTATTCAACAACAAAATCCTAACACTGACAAAGCTCTTACAATTCCATTTAACATTCTAGAAGAAACTTTCAAAAAACTTACTCTCACTTTCACCACAGTTCTTTTTACCAAATTAAATTATCCAAAAATCTTTCCATCCCCTGCAACAATACCTCCCTATAAGAACCAAAACAGATTACAATTCTGTATTAACCTAGCTCGCTTGCACCTATATCTATCAAACAACTATCAATCAATCAACTACAATAAATTCACTGAGGATTTTAAATTTAGACCAAAAAGATTTAGAATATCATCTGTCATAACTAGTTATGACAAAGACGTAAAATACCTTTAGATTAAATCTGATACCAAATTTAATATCTATCTTGAATTTAATATTTCCAAAAACCTCTTTGAGGAAAAATATAATATTCCATCCTTAAAAAACTCACTTGAACATTTCAATAACTGGTTTGAACACTTCTTTCCACAATACAGTCACCAATTCGAACAGCCTATTGACAAAATCAAGGTCTATAACTCCTTGCGATATCAATTCCGCCAATGCTTTATTCAACATCTCAAAGAACTTTTACCTATAACTTTGGATTTTCATAAACCTAACAGCTCTATTCAACACCGTAATAAAACTATTAAACATGCAAACCATCACATTCTCACATGTAAAGATACCTCTTGCCCTTTTGCTGAGACCATCAACAACAAGGATAAGGCCAAAGAAACAGATAGCAATAATCCAAACCCTCCAAAACCTCAATACAGACACAATTATAACCAATTATTCAAAGCTTTCCTTGAAAGATCCTATATAACCTACCCCAAACAGGAGAATGAAGACCTTACATTTGATCCATCAATCTTCCACATTGATAGTAAACACGAAACAACTTTCACTAAACAAATTCTAACCAAATTACTTGACAAGTTAGCTACTTCAGCTGAAGAAGCTGCTCGTTCACCAAATATGCCAAAATCAATTAACCACAAACTTTGCAGTTACTACTTCTATCTATACCTTTCCGTATACTAGAAAATTGCAGCACAAAATCACAACATAGCACAACTTAACTGACAGCAAGCTATTGACACTCTTACCCTCAAACCTATCAGCACCGAATTTCTAGCTAGAGTCATAACTTACTATGATTCTAAGGACAAAAAACTAAACTATTCACAAATAGCACAATACTTTAGAGAAACAGCTTATCCAGAAGCTGAACAACTTCTCACTAAAAAATTCAATATGCACTATACCACACCACCTACCATTGAGAAAACTTTATTCTTCAATGAATCCTAATCTCCTTTTCAATAAAGTTGTCTTTTACAAAACACATGAATGCAGCCGCTACTTTACCAAAAGATACACCCATAGTAGTTGGTAAAGAAAATGATGTAAGTAGGCAGGCGAGAAAGCCTATTTACTTGGATTCCTGGGTTTATGACGGTCAGACTCAACGTACAGAGCAGACTACAGGAAATCTGAAAACCGTGAGAGCCAGGTATATGGTGAACGACCTTGTAAAAGACAATTTGAACAAGTCACTACCAATATCATCCAAATCCTGTGACTTGTTAATCAATCAAACATTTAATTCTAACCATAATCCTAATACCTGTTACAATAAATACCTTTCTAGTCAATCTTTACTCACACTTCCAGACCCCCAAACTATAGAATCATTCCTTACTTACTACAAAAAGATTATATATGCAACTAACAAACATCAATATAAGACAATTATCTCTATTAAAAAAAACTATAGTGAAGCTCATATATACCTCCCTAACGAGTTCGAAACCCTAAAAGACCACACTATTTTACAAGCAGACCAATATCTAATATATTATCAAACACCATTAAGATCACATCCTGAATACTTAATACCTAATACTTTGCCAGACCTCTTTATACCAAATCTCGCATCCATACCTAAACCTTCTTTAATAGAATCACTTAATAATATACAGCCATCATCACACTCTACAACAAGAGCTTCAACCAATGCCTCTTACAACACAAATCACCTAACAAACTCAAACAACAAACCTCAAACCCAACTACTTAATTTATCTATTTGTACACACAATGTACGTGGATATAATATAGATTTAAAACAACAAGCTTGGGAGGATTACTGTCTATCTCACAACCTTAATATTATAAACATCACTGAAACCAAAATCGCTCAATCAAACGCTCGTACCAAATTTCAAAAATCTAAAAACTTCACATACTACTGGTCTTGTACAGACGAATCCAAAGCAGGTACAGC